GCTAAGATCCACAGCTCTCAGACCTGTGTGATGGGGTTCGTCAAGCCTTCCTGTGCTTCCTCAGGTCATATCAACAGCAAACGGGACCACTAATGACTGCAGCCCCAACAGGACAGTGACCATGACCCCCACCATGGACTCTCGGCTCTACATGCTTTCCCTCCTGCCTTTCGTGGTGCTGCTCACGTTCATCCAGAATCTCAAGGTCCTGTCCATCTTCTCCATGCTGGCCAACATGGCCATGTTTGTCAGCCTTGTCGTAATCTACCAGTACATCGTCAGGGTACGTGCGTACGGCCTCTCTCTGTCTTTTCTGTGTTGTCTTGTGTTTTTGGCAGGCGGGGGGAGCTCAACAGAGGGGTGTTTGCGTGCTGTAGGGTGCTGCTTGCTCCTGTGGGCACGGTGGTTACCCTCTGCTCTGCAGGACTTTTCCTGTGGTGTGGGGCTACAACAGGGAGTGATGGGATCGGGCTAGGTCCTCCCCGTGTCTGAACTCTGTGTGGACTTTTTTCCAGGACATTCCTGATCCCAGTGACCTGCCTCTAGCAGCAGCATGGAAGACCTACCCTCTGTTTTTTGGCACCGCGGTCTTTGCTTTCGAAGGCATTGGGGTGGTAAGTCTCGGTGTGTGGCAGCGGGGCTGCCTGCACGGGAGGCTCAGCCCGTGCTCGGGCTTGCCGCAGCACCTGCTCTGCTTTGCAGCTGTATTTGCAGATGAACTTCTCTGACGGTAGCCCAAATTCTGGGGGATGCTGTTAGCTTTAGCCTCCAGGCTATCTCCTGGGTCAAACCCTGTTGCTTCCATCTGAGGCTGGAGGAGCAACATGCTCCAAACCTCAGGAGGCTGGCTGCTGCTTTGAAGGTGTCTGTATCTGGCAGTAGATCAGGCTCTGCTGGGAACTGCACTGGCAGCTACCTTTGGGCTCTTCTGGATGACCTGTGAGTGAGGAATTGTCCTGAGTCTTGTTACCAGCCTAGATCTTGAAGCTGCCTCAGTGGGAGGCCAGAAAGCGTGACATGAAAGCTGAGAGCTCCTTTTGCCAGCCACGTGGTCCCAGCCTGCTGTGGGGCTGGATTTGCACGTGCCTCTCATACGAGATGCTGTAAATAGACCGTCTGTGTCTGTGAAAAATGCTGAGTAGGTGGGTGGAGAGCTTAATGGCTCCTTAAGATGTTGTGGGTTGCTTCCGGGAGCTCCCTTCAAAGGAGGAAAAAATGTTTTCATCTCTTAATATAAGCTGGCTATGTAAACACAGGGCTGGAGAGGGCCAAAACCATTACAAGAGGAGTATTTACTGAATGCTGTGCCCAGGGCAGAGGGCTCATCCCACCAGCGAGGCGTAAATGCTCTCTTCCTCGCATGACTTGGAGGTGGAGAAGCAAATAAAATCTTTTGTGGTCCTGCCTCCTCACTAGCTCTGCCACTGTGTCTCTTCTTGGAATCCTCACCACCAGCTATAAAAATGTTTGCTGAAGTGTTAGTAGTACAGAGGTGAAGGACTTATCTCTGTCCTTTGTTTTTTTTGATTGTCTTGTCTGATTGAAATCTGTCCGGCCAAACTTGATAAGAGAGGAGAAAGTGTCTTGATCTTTCCAGGGTCTGTTGGGGAACATGAGACAGTGATGGGCCTGTCCCAGTGGGCATGGCTGTGCTGTTTTGGGGTGCAGAGCAGAACACAACCAAGATGTGGGGCAAGTGGCATCGTCCCAAGGTGACAGGCACCAATGGACAGAGCTCCTGCCAGGGGGAGGGAGCAGGTCCCTTCATTAAAGCAACGAGCATGGGCAAACCTCCCAGGGACTTGCTGTGCCAAGAGTGGAGGTGTCGTGTGGGAGCACAAACATCCGATCTCCAGTACAGTGGCTGTTTCAGCTTGGTTCTCTGGGCTCCACGTGTGACTGTCCTGTCCCCTGGCTTGGGGGGCTGTGCTTGGCTATGGGGCTCCCCCTCCTGCTTTCCGGGGCTGAGGGATATAGAGGAATGGGGTCAACCTGCTGCTCTGTCATCATCTTCCTCCTCCTCTCCCAGGTGCTGCCTCTGGAAAACAAGATGAAGAACCCCCGGCAGTTCCCGGTCATCCTCTACGTGGGGATGACCATTGTCACCACCTTGTACATCAGCCTGAGCATCCTGGGGTACCTGCGCTTTGGGGCGGACATTCAGGCCAGCATAACACTCAACCTGCCCAACTGCTGGTGAGTCCTCACGGGGAGCAGAGGGCTGGGCGGGTGAGGAAGAAGGGTCCCAGCCACGGAGGTGGGAGAGGAGACAGTGGGGATGTCACTCCTTAGGAGAACTAGTCGGGCTGTACTTGGGGAAGGATCAACCCTGCTGGAGCCAAAGTGTCCAAAGGAGCTTGTCTGATGTACAGGGTAGAGAGGGGCTTGTTGCTGCGATGTCTGAGCTTGATCTTGACTCTGCAGCTCAGGCTGCTGCTTTGGCGTCCCTGGTGGTCCCTGCCTAGGTAGGTACAGCTTGTGCCTTTTCCTTGGAGCTCTGTGGTGTCTTTTTTGGAGAGCTAAGCAGTGCTTTGCCCCTGTGCACCTGTATCAGAAGGTCATTGAACCCTGCAAAAACCACTTCCCCAAATGAAGCACATATTAAGCTAACCCAAAGCTGAGATCTCCCAGCGGCGGTGAGATGCGATGTCTCCACGTCGCATCCTTGTTTGCAGCCCCGGAGCTCAAACTCCCACTCCTGGGCTCTGCGTTGTGCCTGGATGCGGCTTGTATCGAGCCAGCACTTTGCCTGTGGATGCCAGTGCCGTGAGGGTGCCCCTTCCTTCCTGTGGGACCTGAGCTCTGCAGATCCCCAAACCTGTCTACCCTCCTCTGGGCTCTGGCAAGGTTTCTTGAGATGCTCTGGTCAGTGACTGTAGCCCTGCAGAAATACACATCTTGACCCTGTACCTGCTTACCCAAGGGATTATTCTCCTCTTGCCAGGGCTGGTGGCTATTGCAGCAGCTGACCTGGCTGCGTGCTGGTCTGTCCTGGGGCTGAGTGGTTGTGCGGTGTCTTGGCTCTGTGCTCATTCCGGAAGAGCAGTTTCTCTTGCCTTTGGGACAAGAAGCGTGAAGCATGCAAATATTGAGAACAAATATCTTTTCCAGCTTGCTGTGCTTGGGGTTATTTGAGAAGGTCCTGAAAAAAACCCTCTTGTTTCTCATGACATGCTGTGTGCGGCAGGACATGGTGCTGACAGGTGAGGAGGAGCTGGAGGTAGCACTGTAGAGGTACCACATGTGTGGCAGCACCTCCTGCACCTCAGTGCAGAGCTGGGGCTGAGGACTGGCTTTGATACCACGAGACTTCTTGGAAAGCTAACACAGTTTCTCTGGGTTTGCCTTGGAGCACTCTGAGGTTTAACAGTTTCTCTTTGATGTCTCTGCTGGCTTGATACCCTGCAAGAGACCAGAGTGAGATTTAGAGCTACGGGTGCCTGTCCTCTTCCCCAGCCCATCCTCTCTGCTGTTTGCAGCTGCCCGACACCGTGCAGTGTGACTTGCTGCCTCTTCCCCACTGTTGAAGTGGATTTGTGCATGACTCAAATCTTGAGTTGCTGGTGGGCCTCCACATGCTGACCTTTTAGAGCTGTGCAGCTGAGACTGGAGAAAGCAAAGTTTAAAAAAAAATAGAGCCTGCTTTTGCTTTAATTATTGCTATGTGGGTTTCTTTCAATTTGAGTGCATGGGCTTTCCTTCCTGCTGGATCTGGGGAATGACTGAACTGCTGGATGTTGATGTCAGTGTGGCAGAAGATCCTCTTCTCAGCAAGGAGGGATGGGGCTGGTGGCAAAATGCCTGTGTAGCGGGGAGATCTGAATCCCACCATGCCAAGCACAGTAGGCGTGGATCCTATCTGCTTAGCTAGCTAGAGCAAGGTGTGGATGGGATGGGATGCTGCTGCCTCTCCTGAAGGTAGAAAGCAGGTCATGTCCAGGTGTTCGGCTCTGCAGAGCACAAGGTCATGTCACAGCCTGCAAGGCTGCCGGGGGGGCTTCTGCGGGAAATCTCAGCTTTGTTTGCTCTGAAGGGTAACATTCTCTTAGAAGAGGGTAATGGGATTTCTGCAGCTTGCTAGGTTACAGAAAGACTGCATTTCAAATGCGTATTTCTAGAAGTACCCTCACTTTCTGTCAAAGTACTTCTCTGAAAAACAAACCACAGAAAGTTTGTCAGACAGAAAGGAAGAGCCCTTTGGCAGCAGCTCCTGGGGAAGCCTGGGCACACGTGGCAGGGCTCCTGCGGGCTGCCTCCAGGCAAGGCGCGCTGTGCTCCTTGTGACTCAGCGCACAAAACGCTTCGGTGTTTGTACGTGTTCTTCCTGGAAGAACTTTTGATGGAGGCTGTAAATACTGGGCTTGGAAGTGGATTATCTAAAGGGCCGAGATACTTGGGCTCAAGCCTTGACTGCTGTATTCCCATACATGAACCTGTAGGTGGTGGGTAAAGGCTTGCTCTCAGAATGAGCATTTTCCCATCTTGCTTTGCCTGTGGGTTTTCTCCCCAGCAGTAAAAGGCATCGGGCTGCAGAAACTGGTTGTAAGGGTTGTGGGTGAGAAGTCGTGGGGGTTTGCCTGCAGCATAGGAGATGAGACGAGGATCATGGCAGGGATGCTGCATCCTTCCTTGACTGTGGCCGTTGCCTGGAGGTCTCTAGAACAGACTTGATGAATGTGTTGGGAATCATTGAGTTGCAGGATGACTAAGGACTTTCCTAGCCTCGTTTCTCTATAACCGCAGCTTCCTCAAATGAGGAGTGTGTCGGTTCCCTGTGCCCAGGTCTAACCACGGCCTCTGAAATACTGCACTGCTGTGCAGAAATCCCTCTTCTCATCCCCGGAAAAGTTGCTTCACCCCGCCATCAAGAGTGAAGACATGCTGTAGTGAGGGGGAAGATGTTTGGTTGCGTATGGCCAGTTGGAGGTAGGTAATGACGGAGCTTACAGCCAAAGGAGGGTATGCCATTTCTTGCAGCTTGCTGGGGTAACCTGGTGTAGCTCTCTGGGTTGAGCAGGCGGTTGCTGTGGTTTGCAGAGCCTCTGCAGGGCCCCGTGCTGACTTGTGTTTTCTATGGGTCAAGGCGAGCACTCGAGTTCTTGTTCCCCTTGATATTTAAAATGCCCTTTGAGCTTGTCATCCTGGTTCTGACCTGTGCAGGATTGGTACCCAATCTTCTTCTGTACCTTTTAAAATAATATCTCTTAACCATGGATTGCTCTGGAGCATTTTATGGCTTTACAGCATCACTTAACTGAAAATACAGTGATAAGATATGCAGGCTGTGGGGTGGGTGGCTCAAGGCTACTGTACACTCCAGTGTTGTGCAGCTGCTACCGAGCGCTCGAGTCATGTGGTGGAGTGGGCACACTCTGAACTCTTGTGCTGGTTTGACCTAAACAGAACCAGTTCTGTTCAGTGCTTTTTGCTTCTCAGTTCAGTCTCTTCTTAAAGGCTGAACTTTCTGAAGTTAGCAGCACGTTTTTGCAGACAGTGCAAAATTTGCCCTTTGGCAAATCCCCACTGACTATTCACCCTGTCCAATGAACTCCAGGAGGGCTTAGCCCGTGCTGTTCTGGGCATCGAGGTGAAGCTGATTAGCCTGTAGCTTCCCTGATCCTTTTTGAAGGTGGATATGATTTTTCTTCCCAGTGGGATGTCTCCCTGGTCACTCTGGTCTTTTAAAGATGATAAAGTGTATTTGAGGTTTGTGCCCAGCCTCAGCCTGAAGCCATCTGATCTGGTCTAATGGACTTGTAAAACATCTTATTCACTTAAGTGATCCCTAACTCCAACCTCTGTGATTGTGGGAAATGTTTGACTCAACCAGACTCTGCCACTCGTGTACAAAGTTGTTTTGCCTGTGAATACTTGGATTTCTGTGGTTTGAGACTGTTGTTGTAGCAGCTGGATACTGCGAGCCAACACACAGAGGGGCACTGGCTTGGGCCCAAAGAAGGTAGAGGAGTATGAGAAGGCAGGAAGAGCAAGATGCTTCTCTCCAGCTTGGATCCATACCCAAGTGACAGGGCCAGGATCCATATTTGCTACTCAGTCAGCATGTCTTGAGTTGGGGAACAGGTAGGGCCATACATGATGTGACTAGATATCACCTCTGGAGAGGCTTTTTCTGCTGGCATGCAGCTGGCGGTGAAGATGGGGTTGGGAGGTGGCTTTATGGCCCCTGATGACAGGCTCTCCTGCAGCCACGCTTGCCCCTGCTATGTCGCTGTGGGGCTCAGGGAGATCTAACTCAGGGTGAGCCTAAGGTACTGTTTGCAGCGTGTCTGCGTTCTGCCTTCCTTCTGCTCAGCCCAAACTACTTTTAACTGTCTTTTCCCCAAACATGTATTATGCAGCATTCCAAAAATAACTGCTCTTCTTTGTTTTGTGGAGGAGGTGGTGACGCATCGCATTTGCTTTTTAAGCCCAGACTTATCCTGGCAGTGCTGTCCTTTTCACCCTCCTCAGAAGCCAAGAAGAAATCACAATCTGTGAAATATTTATGGCTTCGGCTGTGTTGTGGTTTAACCCCAGGTGGCAGCTCAGCCCCATGCAGCCACTCACTCACTCCCCTCCGGTGGGATGGAGGAGACAATTGGAAGGATACAAGTAAGAAAACTCATGGGTTGAGATGAAGACATGCTGAGCATGATGTCACATGGTGCGTGATATCCCCCTGGTCAGTTGGGGTCGGCTGTCCTGGCTGTGTCCCCTCCCAGCTCCTTGTGCCCCCTCAGCCTCCTTGCTGGTGGGGTGAGGAGCAGGGAAGATCCTGGCTCTAAGTGAGCTCTGCTCAGCCGTAACTAAAACATCTCAGTGTTACCAACACTGTTTCCAGCATAAATCCCAAACACAGTGAAGGAAATTAATTCCAGCCCAGCCAAAATTAGCGCGTTCTCCAACCCTTTATTCCATACAACTTATGTTATGCTCAGGTCCCACAATAACCATCACATTCTCATTAACTGCCACCCCCCTTCCTGTCCTTTGGTACCGTACACAGATGTCTTTTCCTTAGTCTATGGAGCACCCCTGTGGAATGTCCATAAATGTCCACAAAAAGTTCACCGAGACCATTTAGTCCATGCCTTTGGGCTCCTGCTGTTGCCGTGGTCTCTCAGGACAGGAGAGATGCTGTGCTGCACAGGTAACCACAGCCAGCCCGGGTCAGGTCACGGCTGCCCTTGTACCTTTGTGTAAGACTTGTCCTCCACTGCTTTGGGTGGTTCCTGCTATAGTAATTCCTTATAAGATGGAACTCAAATCATAGGTTACAACAATTTAAAAGTATATTCATTGCAATCTCTGCCCCTGGTTATAGGGTTTAACATTGCAAGGAACTCCTCCCCTTGTTCCTAGCCTGGCTAGCAACAAGAGGTTGCTGCTCTAGTAATTCCCAGTACAACCTCCACCCGGGGCCCTTTGGACCAGACCATTGGGTTTAACATTGCATTGAGCTCCTCCTCTTGCCCCTTCTCTGGCCTGGGGCTTACCACAGACTGCAGTCCCTCAGGGATGTACCTGCTCCAGGCAGAGCCTTACCCATGAGCCACAGTCTCTGCAGGCTTGTATCTGCTGTGTTGACTTATCCACAGTCACTGTGAGGTGTACCTGTTCCAGCATGGTCTTCTCCGTGAGCCACAGTGCCTTCAGAGATACACGTGCTGTGGTGCACGTGTAACCACGGCCACATAGGCTTTGAGATGTACCTGCCCTGGTGTGAACTTATTCATGGCCACAGATGCTTCGGGCTGTTCTGCTCACGTGTGGCCTGACCCACAGTCCCTTCACCTTGAGTTTGCACTGGAGTTACAGCCTGTCCAGGACAGCAGCCATGCCCTGGGCATCTGGCAGCCCCCGAGCATCGCCATTGCTTTCAAAATGTTCCCAGGCACAGCACAGTAAGGTGACAAGCAGTCAAGCAAGCAGCGTAAGCAAAAAGCAGCCACTGATGAGCAGTAGACTCTAATAGCCAGTCAGAGGAGCCTGACAATTAATAGCTAAACAGCAATAACAGCTATAAATTCTGCCTAGCACATTCCAATCTAATCTGTCGTTATCTCGAACCCTTTGTGCCTAAGGCTGAGTACCAAAAAAGACTGTCATGGTTTAATACCAGCTGATAGCTCAGCCCCATGCAGCCACTCACTTGCTCCCCTGCAGTGGGATGGGAGAGAGAATCAGAAGGGTAAAAGTGAGAAAAACTCCTGAGTTGAGATAAAGACAGTTTAACAGGTAAAGCAAAAGCTGCACACATCAGCAAAGCAAAATAAGGAATTCATTCACCACTTCCCATGGGCAGGCAGATGTTCAGCTGTCTCCAGCAGAGCAGGGCCCCATCATACATGATGGTGACTTGGGAGGACAAATGCCATCACTCCGAATGTCCCCCTTCCTTCTTCTTCCCCAGCTTTATGTGCTGAGCGTGATGCCCCATGGTGTGCGATATGCCCCTGGTCAGTTGGGGTCGGCTGTCCTGGCTGTGTCCCATCCCAGCTCCTTGTGCCCCCTCAGCCTCCTCGCTGGTGGGGTGAGGAGCAGAGAAGATCTTGGCTCTGTGTGAGCCCTGCTCAGCCATAACTAAAACATCTCGGTGTTACCAGCACGGTTTCCAGCACAAATCCCAAACACAGTCCGGTACTAGCTACTGTGAAGGAAATTAACTCCACCCCAGCCAAAACCAGCATAAGCTGGTAAGCCTCTGAAGATATTCTTCATCTCCTGCTTTAAGATGAAGAATTCTATCCCTCTGGTTATCAATAGGAGAAGAGGAGGGTTTTTTCCTTCCTTCAGCTCAGAGGCTGGATTTTGTTAGCGAAGGTCAAGGTGAGGATCTGTGTGAATGGGTGGTGGATGCAACTTCATTCTGAGTCCCTGGCCAAAAATTAGGACTGCAGGCTCTTGGCAGCACCAGTGCTGGTGGGTATTTGTGTGCTGTCTGAGCGGGGCAGTCATGAAGACTGCCCTCTGTCACTGCAGACCCTGCAGAGTTGAGCCTGGTCAAGTGGAGAGGGTGGTGCTGAGGCTGTATCCCTACATAGGGAGCACTTGTTACTTTGTGCAGCCAAGGGCAGCGTGGCACACATGAGCATCTAGAAATGTAGGCAAGTGTCTTAACTTGTCAAGGAACAAGTTAGGCTCTTGGTGCCTTGGCCAGGGACATCTCAGCTTTCCCTGTGCCTTTGTGCCTTTGAATGAGTTAGGAGCAGAATAGTGGTTTTGTTATTTTTTTCTTTCTTTTTTTTCCCCCCCCTGAAGTAGCTCTCAATGTCTGTGCCCATGAGTTATCCCAATGTTAAAGCAGCACTTGTGAGGCTGCTGGCCCAACTCCTGCTCTGATGATACCTTGCACAAAGCCAGGACTAAAGCCTCTGATTTGGTGTAAGGGCACTGGCACACAGAAGTCCTTCTTGGCAGAGCGTTCCCCTTCTACTTTCTGCTGTTGGTGCTGCAGGGGCTGAAGCAAGAGCGTGTCTCACTGGATCTCCTCCTTCTCGATTGCAGGCTGTACCAAGCTGTCAAGCTGCTCTTCTCCTTTGGGATTTTCTTCACATACGCCGTGCAGTTCTACGTGCCTGCCGAGATCATCATCCCTCCCCTCGTTGCCCGGGTGTCGGAGCGCTGGGGCTGGCTGGTCAACATGCTCCTCAGGGTGGCTCTGGTCAGCGTGACCTGTGAGTAGAAAGCAACTTGTATGAGTTCCCCTATGAGGATGTGGCACCTCCTTCCCGCTGTGGGCTGATGGTGCTGAGAGCCTTTCCCCTCACCTCACTGCCTCTGCCCCTGCTGCTAAAGCCTTCAGGGAGTCCTCTGTGCTCTCTGTATGGGGCCATTCTTCTCAGTGGAGTAGTAGGCTTCTCATATCTTTGTACACACACATTTACTGCAGCATGTAGCACAGCAGAAGACAGCTGACGATGGCACAGGACGCATAACCGAAGCCTCGGTGTGCCCGTGGCAGTCTGCTGGAGTGCAGAGTCTGCTTCAGGGCAGGTCTGGCTGGATCAGCCCCAAATGGTTCCCTTGCCTTGATGGTGTTTGGTGCCTGCAGTGAGGCTCTGGTGGAGCAGGCTGCTGGGCTTGAGCCTAGTGGACCTTCAGGAAAGATGTGTAGCAAATCAGATGTAGGAGTATCTGATTTTTGGCTGAAGGCTAAATCCTTACTGTTGTCAGCACAGCTGAGATGCTTGACTGAGCTTCCTGGCGTCATCTGCTGAAGAAGAGCTTTTTCTCCATGGCTTGATGCTGCTGATGCATCAGAGTAGAACACCGGGGACCTTGCCTTGTGTCCTAGCTGACTTTGATTTGGGTTTGAGAGGAGTGTGGTGCTAACTCGAGGGCTGTGAAGCCAGCTGAGAGCATGGCACTGCCACTTTCTGGGCTCTTGCTCACAAAGCAGTGCATTAACAGAGGTGGACAAAACCCATCTCCTCTTTGCAGAGATCCTGAAGCTCACTCTGCAGATGGAGGGATGAAATCCTGCTGTGCTGGACCATCTGCTCTGGCCACCCCAGTGCTGTGGTCAGGCTCGGAGCCTCTCCCAGAGGGAGCAGGGTTGTGCTGGGCTGGGGAAGCAAAGGCTTGGAGTGACGGAATGGCTTTAGGCACTTGCAGTGGCTGTACCCTCCTGTTTGGGGGTAGGGAGACAGCAGAGGTGTTGGTGGAAGGATGCTGGGTCTTTGTACCTCCTCCCCTTCTCCTTCCATGTAGGAGATGGCTGTGGCTGTTGGTGAGGATAAAAGCAATTAGGGGGGTTGCATGAATATTCATTGGATGATTGCGTGTCCGCAGAAAAAGCCCACGTTGTGGCTTTGGCTTCCAAAGAGAGGATGCAATTTGGTGTATGGGTGTCTTTTAAGCTGAGACTTCAAAACCAGCACACCAAAAAACCCTTTGAATTAATACCTGCGGGAAGCATTATCGTTGCCCCTGAAGGCTGCAGCTGGTGCTTCAGTTCTCCTTGTTTTAGAGAGGAGGGGTTAATAATTTTGTTTACTTTGAGTCCGAAGAGCAATGTGAGGTGGGCTGAGGATGCTGTCGGTGGGCTGGAGTGGTGATGAAGTGCAGGAGCACCTCCTGTTTGTGTCTCGCCTGTTGTTGGTGTCCCAAGCCTTCCGTCTCCTGTGGTGCCATGGGTGATCCGTGGCTTAGGGAGGCTCCAACAGCTTCTCTTACCTGTAGGTGATTGCCAAAGAGTAAACAAATCCTTGCAGTAAGCAGCCCTGGGACATCCCTTCTGCCCCGAGGCTGTAGCTGCCACAATTCTAGGCATCTATTCCTTAGCAGAGTTTTCAAAGTAGTAAACCAATTTATTTCAGTTGGTCCCTTGGATTAAGCACTGAAGTCTGCTTTGCTTGCAGCGGATGCTCTTTTGTCGTGCAAAACTGTAGTTGCTTTTTCCTCAGACTTTGACCGAAAAGCAACAGTAATGCTCTTCAATGCCCAGGTTGCTGTGGATGAGGAGCTTGCTTGGTACATCGGCATGCCAAGGAGCACCACTCCCGCTTGAAAATGGGACCTTGATGATCTTTTATTTTAGATCTGCTCCCCAGACACTGGCACTGTGGTGTCCTGAGAGGAGCCCAGAGGAGGTGGCGGCTGTGGGCTGGTTGGAAGGAGAAGGCACCATCCCTCTGTCCTCCCCTGGCCCTGAGCAGGAGGAGGGGGAGCAGGAATATGCCAGTATTTGCACTGCTAAGTGTGAGCTGTCAGAAGTCTCTTAGGGGGATTTTCCTTGGCTGCAGTTTTTACCCAACAAATGTTCTCCCTGGGGCTGTGCCGTGGGTTCTCTGCTGCTGGAGCAGCTCTAAACAGATGCAAACCACATGGATTTATTCGGGGTGGGGGAGATGGCTTTTTCCTCCCATCTCCTGCTTTTATGGGGTTTCTGAGGCTTTACGGCTCCCCAGGTGTGGGGAACTGGCTCTCAGGAGGGGATTGGCGATGTCAGCAGCTGCTCTTCTGCCATCGGCATCTGTTTGCTGGGGCACCCATCCTGCTCAGCCCTGGAGCTCGCTGCGGCGATGCCCAGGGCGACAGAAAGGGTTTGGTCTGCGTGCTGCGCTTTGTTAACTCAGTGCAACAGCTTAATTGCGTGTTGGGGAGGAGTTGCTGGAAAAATATGCAGCCACATCTTCAAAGCCGTCAGGGAAAAGGGCAGAGGTATGATTCAAGCATCCCTGTGGTGGGTTTTTCCTTGCTTGGCCTCGGGGGTGGAGGGTCTCCGCTGTCGGGGAGCCGACAGTGCTAACGTCGTGTCCTTCTCCAGGCGTGTTGGCCATCCTCATCCCACGCCTGGACATCGTCATCTCGCTGGTGGGCTCCATCAGCAGCAGCGCCCTGGCTCTCATCTTCCCCCCGCTGCTGGAGATCGCCACCTACTACGCGGAAGGCATGCACCCCTTCGTCATCGCCAAGGATGTCGTTATCAGCGTCTTCGGCTTCGTGGGGTTTGTGGTGGGGACGTACGAGGCGCTGGTGGAGCTGATAGCACCCGCCACCACTGTTGGGAACGGCACCAGTGCCATGGGGCCGTGACGGGGCGCACGCCCCGTGCTGGGGGCTCACAGGCACTGGGCACTGCTGGTCCTCTGGGAGTGGTCTCCCCTCTCTCTGGAAGCATATGGTGGGTTTGGTCTGTGAGAGGATGGGGCTACCCACCATCGAGGCTGCCCATCTGCAGCGGGGTCCTGTGCTGGGTCTGGCTGGGGAGGTGAGATCCGGGCTGGGGCAGTGCCTTCCTGGGGACTTTTTGAGCAGGCGATACAGCAAAACAGCCCCCTCAGCACTTATGTTAATAGCCACTTTGAGAGGTGAGGAATCCTGGGGGTAGACTTTGATTTTATGTTACTTTTTTAAATCCCACCCTTTCTGTATTTCCTCTGTCGTCCTGTGCTGGGTCTGGCTGGGGAGGTGAGATCCGGGCTGGGGCAGTGCCTTCCTGGGGACTTTTTGAGCAGGCGATACAGCAAAACAGCCCCCTCAGCACTTATGTTAATAGCCACTTTGAGAGGTGAGGAATCCTGGGGGTAGACTTTGATTTTATGTTACTTTTTTAAATCCCACCCTTTCTGTATTTCCTCTGTCCCTTCAGTCAGGACAGGGAACAGGGACTGCTCTTTTTTTTGTGCCAGTTTTTTTTTTTTTCCCCTCAGCACTTTATTTTTACAGCAACAGAGAAACCTCAGCTCGGATTGGAGAGCGTGGAGCTGCCTCCTCATCGTGGCTTCGTGGGAGGGGCAGGCAGAGCCCGAGGGGCAGAGCATCCCGGGCCCCCCAC